TCAACAACGTTGACTCAACTTCTTCTTTCTTGTCGTCAACAAGGTTAGATTATTGCTACGACATTCCCAAGAGTAATGGTCAAATTTATGACAATTATAACACTTAATTTTGGATTTTTCATACCTTTGTCCATTATTTTCTTGGTAGTAGCCACGTCATCTTCCTCCTCTATGTCCACGACCACGACCTCTGAATGTCTTGTGGATTTTAACTTCATTGTTGAAGTTGTTAGCGTTTCTTCTTCCTTTTCCATGACTGCCACGACCTCGTCCCCGTCCATTCCCTCGATAGCTCTTTTCACCTCCATAATCTTTGAAGGATGCCTGAGTTTTAAGAAGTTGCTCCAATGGCACTTCTTGTCTCCTCTTGATCTTTTCTTTATGGGCCTATAAATAACCCTCCAATTGCTCTACCATCATAGAGTCTAAATCTTTAGACTCCTCAATAGCACACACCACAAAATCAAATTTAGGTGTTAAAGTGCGAAGGATATTTTCTACCACACGGACATCTTTTATGTCCTCCCCATATCTTCTTAATTGATTTACAACAGCCTTCACTTTTGAACAATAATCTGAAATGCATTCAAATTCTTTCATTTTTAAAACATCAAAATCAGCCCTTAGAGTTTGAAGTTTTACCTTCCTCATCTTGTCAACTCCTTGAAGAGAATTTTGTAAAATCTCTCAAGCTTCCTTTGAGGTGGTAGCATCTGCCACCTTCTCGAATATGGTATCATTCAGACATTGATGAATGATCGTAAGGGCTTGTTGATCCTTCTTCCTTGTCTTTGCCAAGACATCTTTTTCATTTTGAGGCAGAGCTTCCTCATTATCGGGTTTTGCATACCCTCTATCTACGATTTTCCACACATCCTCAGAGCCAAGAATGGCTTTCATACGTAGACACCATTTCTCATAATTTTTTTTTGTGAGACGGAGGTACTGAAAAGACAACGTACCATTATTTACCATGGCTCTGATACCACGTTGTTGGGAAAAATAATAATCCCGCCCAGGAATAATATCCACGATAAATAATAATAACACAAGAGAGTAACAACGATACCAACTCTTTTAATGGGTAAAATACAATACCCGAGTGGAGTAATATAACCACTATAATATTACAACTTAGTAATGTCAAGATACTACTACAATCTTGAAAGAAATAACACTCTTTATTTAAAATACTTCACTACAATATTACTCACACTCACTATTTATCTCACAGACTACAATCTGTGGATTACTCTCTCTAACTTCTATTGCTTCTCTCTTATTTTGGTGTGATTGAAATGAAGAATGGAAGCCTCTATTTATAGTAAGAGATGTCATTCAACTACTACAAAGAAGATGTCTTGTTGTTGATTTAGTCCTATAATTTTTCAACAAAGTTAGGCACCTCCCATTTTCTTCAACAAAGTTGTCAACAAAGTTAGGCACCTCCCATTTTCTTTAACAAAGTTGTCAACAAAATTAGGCACCTCCCATTTTCTTCAACAAAGTTGTCAACAAAGTTAGGCATCTCCTATTTTCTTTTTTATTTTTCTTTAATATATGGCCCACATTGTCCACATGGATATTTAAGGATATTGCATAGATTTTTGGCACAACTTAAAGATGTTTTCGGCCAAAAGTGGAGTTGTTCTTAAAAATGGAGTATTCTCATTAAGACTCATAAAATATTAGGAATAATCAAACTACGGGGATTAAAATTTATAATTTGCGTCACTGTAAATGCAAAGAAACATTACCCTTTCGGTATTTGTTTTACCAAATACTGTTTAGAAGAAGCATCTTTAGGTTGTTACTTTCATTAATCAATAACATATTATTTTTTTTATTACTTTTCATTATCATTTCAAATAATATTTCTTATTATTTTTTAATTTTATAATTCTCCGCGCATCGCGCGGGTACAGATACTAGTGTTAAAGTATATGAGGGCTCGAGCCTCAACTAGGTCTAACTTGAGGCACCCAATAATAATGAGACATTTTGATTCATTCCTCGGAATATAATCTTTTACGTTTATATTTTGCGATGACCATAAATAAAGCACAAAGTCAATTATTCTCAATGTTGAATTTAAATCAATTGAAACATGTGTACTCATGTGACCAATTTTACGTTTGCATTTTCAAGAGGGATATCAACATCAACCATGAGAATTATGGTTATGACAGAACTACTAAAAGGGATGAAATAAGCATACATCATAAATACGTGAAATACACTTCATTATATGTTTGAATAATAAAATCAGAATAAATAAACAAAATCATATGTATCTAATTAATTTCTTATTATTCATTTTTGTAAGTTCATACAAAATCCAAGCTTGACATCAACAATAAGTCACCACATGATCCACATTGGTCATTCAAAGAACTTGTACATTATTCTTTTATGTTTAATTTTTTAGTAAAAATTTATTTTGATAATATTAATTTTATTTTACAAATCAAATATTACATGATTCGATAAATACGTGCAACGCACATGCCAAGAAACTAGTTACAACAATTCTTAATTAAAACTCAACCAAAATGGTGCGGAGCAAAACAATATAAAAGACATTAGAAAAAAGTCTTTTTGGAGTAAAAAAGAAAAATGATATCGTAATTGACGGCTTTATTCATATTCAGTTAATAATTATTGTTTGTCTTCAGCCTCGAGCATCCAAAGTAAATTATAACCAACAAAAGCAAATAAATAAATCCATATAAAAGGAGAAATTGAAAAACAAATTCTGGGTTAGCTTTGGATTCCGTTGTCTAAGTATTTGACTTTAAAGCAGAATGGACAAAACAAAAAAAACAACTACCAAAGTACACATTCAAAAGTACTTGAACACGAGGCATAGATTCCTCAACTGCAGGCAAAGAATTGCTTTCCTTGGAATTGAGAAATGTTAGGTTTGGCTTTAGTTCTTTTCTTCTTATTTTATTTTTTACCATAATATTCTCCTGTTTTCTTCTTTAGTCAATATGAATAAACGACATAATTTAGCATTTCTTCCCCAATATCTGACCAAAGCCCTTGAGGTTGAAACACATCCCTCTATCTCAATTGGTCAAAAGGAGGAGCAGATAATACATAAAAAGTTTAATAAATTTGGCAAAATTTGCAACTATTACACCTAAATTATGTTGTGTTTGTATTACTTGAACTTTTCCATACAATGTCTATTACACCTAAACTATCTTTCTTTCACTACAATTTTATGATAGATCTACAAAATATTATTCATCTCATTTCAATTTATATGACATAGTTCGAATTAGTACACAATTTTTTTTTAAAAAAACCTTTATACTTTACTATCTAAAATATGTCATAGTATTTGTGTGACTATAAAATTTTTAAAAGTTATAATGTTAAATATTTCATAACATTATATTTATGCAGTTATAAAATTTTCATTAAGAATAAATTGAGAAGTTTAAAGTTAATTGTTTTCAAGTGTAAAATTATGTATTGCATTTACAATATATATATAAAACTTGTGATTGGTAAACCCCCATCCCCCACCCCCCACAAGCCCCAACCACCGCCAACCCCAAGTCAGCGCTTTCTCTTTAGCGGTGTTGTTTTTGCATGAAAAGTCAGAAAGACAACGGCGCCTTGTTACGGTGATTCCCAAGAGATATTCGTAATAGTAGGTAGGACTTATCTTTTTCCTCGTTTGGTTTGGGTTCTCTTCAATGGTGGGACCTATTACCATTAGCCACCAGTCTTTGCTTTTCTGCTTTTTTCTTCTTTAGCCCACTCGTGACACATTATTAAACAATTTCACTCTTCCTTTTCCTCCCCTCTTTTACTCCGTGTCCATGTGCTTTTCTTTTTCTTTTTAATTTTTTTAGATTTTTTAGTTTAATTGTCTCTTGTAAAACATACTTTCTCAACACTCTTGATGTTGCAACAATGGTCAAATTTCACTATTTCATTATAAAGAGAACAGACAAAAGCTGCATAGTTCTACGCTAGTCTTAATCGTACTAGGACAAATATGAGTATTCTACACAATTCAATTCATAGATTTCTTTTTATTTTTTATCATGAAATGTAAGTCTAATTAAACTTAACATATATATATGGTTCAGAACTTTAAATGGATCAAGATATCTTTTGTTGAAGAGGGGTTCTACAGAAACAGCAGTCCGAAAATCCTTATCTTTAAACAATATTTATGACGGAAATAAACTTAAAGCTAGTTTTATTTAAGACAAAATCAGAAATTAGTCCTTACGAGGTTCTTGATCATCCAAGACTATCTCACTTCTCAAATTGGTTTGTCTACAAAATAATCCTAAAAAGAAAATTTATATATTTATCTTATCATTAAGTGCTTATTCTACTTGTTAGGAATGGATATCTCGGATCGAATTCTATGAATAGATAAATGTGTTAAGATCACACGCTTACCATTATGCTAAAAGTTATAGCTGATAGCAAGGGTGTAACAATATTTCTTAATCAAGCCTACCAAACAAGCTTGATGTTCGACTATGACTCTAACCCGAGCCACCTCAGCCCTCTCGCGGGCTTGTCATATTCAGTATGTTAGTGTTACCCAATAAAACGGGCCGCAAATTTAAACCAGTCTATGGATAATAGCCATCTAATGTGTTAGAAACAGGGAAACCAATCCTTGGATGGGATGCTCTTTTGTCAATATGCAACACAAACAATTCCCAGGCTGCTCATTTTGTCAATCTTCAACACTAAAAAGTCCCACTCTCTTTTCCTTTACTCAATTGTCAACGCAAAATAAAATACAAAAAAGAGATCCTTTACGAAGCTTCCCTACACCCCCTCCCTCTCCCTTTTTTTTCTCTTTTTCTTTTACAACCCTTTATATCTCTTCCCATTCCAAGTCTAACCCCCATGTCAAATGCCAACAATATAAAACAACTACTTGAGAGCTTCTCTCTCTCTATATACCAACTAAGTTATTCATTCTTCCCAATTCCATTTCTCTTCATTCTTTTCTTATGGCCTTTAGAAGAAATCTGAAGAGGAAATCATCTGAAGAAGATGGAGATAGCTTTGCTTTTCCACTTGATGAGCTTAATCAAGATCTTCTTGAGAAGATTCTTTCTTGGCTACCAACTTCTACTTTTCTCCGCTTAACCTCAGTTAGCAAAAAATGGAAATCAGCTGCTACTTCCCCTGCTTTCCACATAGCTTGCTCTCAAATCACATCCAGAGACCCTTGGTTTTACATGGTTGATTCTTCTTCACTATCATCTCCTTTTGTGTATGATTCTTCTGAAATGAATTGGAAGAAATTCCTCACTTACCCATCTAATTTTCTTGAAAAAAATCAGAAAAATGATTCTAATTTCCTCCCTGTTGCTGCTTCTGGTGGACTTCTCTGCTTCCACAATAGTGAAAAGGGTGAATTCGTCATTTTTAACCCTGTTACTTCCACATGTCGCAAGCTCCCTTTAGTGGATTATTGCAATACCCTTTGTGCTATAGGAATGATTTCCACTCAAGAATCATATAAACTTTTCCTGGTTTTTGGTGAATTCCCAAATCTTTCCTTTAGAGTCTACAATTCCGTGACAAATCTCTGGGAAGAATCTGCAATTATGAGTAGAAAATTTTCTAGCTGCCCTGCAGCTGAATCCTACAGTACTGATGAAGAAGACGACGACGATGGTCGAATGCTGTATTTCTTGGGTAAATGTGGCAATGTAATAGCAACTGAAATACAAAAAACCCCATGTAAACAGTACTCCTCAATAATCACCAAGAATGGTTGTACTGGCCAAGAGATTCTGTATTTCTTGAACTCCAATGGCAAAGTTGTGGTTTGCAATTTTGCTGAAAAGTATTTTTTTGAGTACCCAAGATTACTTCCTCTTAGTCATGAGTACTCTATTGACTTAGTTGAATGTGTAGGAGAGTTGCTTGTGGTTGTGCTCTCGGAATTCTTGGAAACTGCAAGTCTGAGAGTGTGGAAATTTGACGAGAAGAGTTGGATTTGGAATCAGGTTTTGGCAATGCCAGCAGCAATTTCACATGAATTTTATGGGAAGAAAGTGGATATCAACTGCACTGGAGGAGATGGTGAAAAGATGTTTGTGTGTATTTCTAATGCTGCTGGTGAGAGTTGTAGGTATTTCTTGTGCAATTTGGTTGGAAATGAGTGGACTGAATTGCCTGCTTGTAGTGTTGATGGCTATAACAGGAAATTCAGTTGTGCTTTCTCTTTTCAGCCTAGGATTGAAGCTTCTGTGTGATAGAATAGAAATGATACGATTTGACAAAGGAGGAGGCGAAATGTAAAAGGGTTAGAATTGGGATTCTTCATTCTTTTTTTCCTAGTTTGTTGTACTTTTCACTTTATTCTTTTATAGGATATTTTTCTTGTCACTTTGGAATAATTTATTGCAATTACACGGTGATATTTTTCTGCTTTTTAAATGAATTGATGTAATTGCTGAAAATTCTTATTCGAAAGAGATCTTTGTCTTCCATTATGATATGTGTAGGCATAGGTGAGGAGCCTAATCGAATTTACTGCAGTATGTTGAGGATGTTCCTTTAATCAAAGGGGTAATGTGTTAAAACACTACTCAAATGCATAAACTAAAAGAGGGGTTGTTCAGACACATCCCAATTAAAATGCATAAACTAAATAATTGCACATATTCAAGTTATTAAATGATGATTAGTAGCCGAATCAGTCAAACTCTGATGAAACCCAATATCAAAATGAACGTGATATGGGCCTCTTGTCCAAATTGAATTTGGACCGAAGATGCTAATTTTGACATCAAAAATGTAGACATTTTTACTTATCTATACTATTTTTAAAACTTATTTACCCTCAATATTGAAATTTTAACTTAATTATAAGTTGATCTACAATTTACTAATTATATAAAAAATAATGTATTAGAATCTGATCTTCCCTATTTTATCTCCTCTTCTTCCACACCCAAATTCAAACAATCAAACCTCTCCAAATTCATTTCAGTCGGCATCCATTTATTCTTTTCCTTTCCAAATCAGTGGCTTCACCTAATTGTATTACTAGTAAAGTTATGCATTTTTTAGTCCGCCTCAACTAAGAAAGAAGAATAATTACTAATGAAAATACAGTAACAAAGAACGTTAATTGAACATTTGATATCATGGCAGCAAGGTCATCACCATTTCTTCCTAGTCTTGAACTCATGGATAATAATACGAGAATAAAAAAAGAAAAAACAAAACCATGATTAAATAAATTGTTCAGAATAGGACATTGATACACAAATTCATGTGATTAGTTAAGAGTTTATACTCCATTGACAACCATCAAAAAGTTCGAAGCTTTGAATTCGAAAATTAAATTTTGCGTATTTGTTATTTGTTTGGATTGAGTGTTGTTGTAAATGGTAGAGAATATTCTTTGGAGTTTATATTTCAATTTTGAGAGAATTTGATGAAGATTCGAGGTGGTTTTGGTTAGAATTTCAGTTTCAAACTCAAAAAAAAAAAGGCATAAACAAATTATATATATTTTGCATGCCGGGGTATAGAAACGACATACAAAATATATACAACTGACATAATTGTAGACAAATTATATGTAAATTACATTTTTGACTAGATTCAAAAAAAAAATGTATCTAAGTTGTAGATAAAATGTTAATTTTGACCGAATTTGTATATATTTTGTAAAAAAAATTAGTTACTTTCTATAAATAGAAAAACTTAAATAAATCGGATAAATAAATTTAAAATCTCGTATACATACGAAAAAATTCCAAAAATATAGCTCATTGTCTTACTGTCAAGGTCCATGTTCAATTAGGGATAATTGATTTCTAAAGCCTATTATGATAGGATTTGCAATCGATAACCTGTTTTTACCCTGCTATTTAAGCTATATCTTTTTTTTTTTAAAAATTATTTAACTGGTATTGACAGACATCAGAAAAAAGCTGGTACACTCCGATCTTCTTCTTCTCCTCCTTTGATGTTCGAAGGGGCGACTGAGAAACATGAATCCCGAATTGGTGTCTCGGTGGTTGCTCGAAATTCTAATTTGAATGGCCATTTGAACGGAGAATCAAGTCTTCTTGCTAATATAGATGTTTGTTCCAAAATTTAGATTTAGATTTAAACAATTAGATTGTCTAATAGAATAAAACTAATCTTAGCCAATATTAATATCCAAATGATTGTTTAACTGATTTTGTGGCAAAATATCACAAGTTCTGTGGAAATAGCAGTGAATACGTAACAATAAACAATATTCAACAGCCCAAGAACAAAGAGGATAACATTAAATAGCAATAAATGATATATAATGGGATTTATCTAAATAAATGCAAGTGAGGTAACCGAAAATGGGTGAGATCCTGTGATATCCCTCCTGACAACGATAAATGATTGATGAGCATTTGAATATTTGGATTCTTCTTGGATCGTGGGAGAAAAGTTAGACAAAGATTTGAAGAAAAAATATATTTTGTATGTATGTAATAAGGCAAGAATCTAGAGAATGTCAATATCTTGTTCCTTTCAATGAGTGTCCAATACCACTCTATAACTACCTATATTTCTTTTTATAAGGGAGCATGGGCCATAAACTCTAATAATACAGATTCCAGGAGTATTCACTGGAAGATTCTCTTTAAAATCTTATCTCTAAAACTAGCAGTTACTGCTTCGTTAAGGAGAGTATTCATCCTCGACCTCAACCTCGATCTCTGTTGACTCCTCGACCTCGCCTTTGTCCTTTCTTAGACCACTTCGACCTTGCCTTCGTCTTTTGTCGAGAACATATGGATGACGCGTGGCAGCCTTCAAAGGCTCTCTTAATGTTGGTTTAGCCTACATATAATTAGGATAATTTTTAGCCGATATAGTTAGTTCCTCCGCTTGTTGAGGTCATCTTCGCGGGTGGGTTCAACGAGCGAATGATAGCGTTCATGGTTGTCTCTGTGGTCGAGTTCACTAAATAGATAATAGCGGCCGTGAGTGTTGTGATGAGTAGGCGACGTGGCTCTTTGCGTACCATAAGTTTTATACCCCCTGACTTTCTCGGGTAATTTGTTGGAACCATTTAGTCCAGAGAGAAGGGGTGACGTCATGCGTAATGATGATGCCGATTCCCGACGTATTTCGTCCCTTTGGCCACTATATTCCTCGTTCGCGGGGAAGATATTGTTGTCGTCGCTGAGAAGGAATCCCTCCCTTCTATGGAGGAGATTATACCTCGATATCCCGATGCTAAGCCCGACTTCCACAAGCCACCCGAAGTGGTGACCGAAAAGTTCCAATCCACGATGACGGTTGAGCTCTTAATTGAGCTTAAGAATATGTTTGGCCTTCATGACTACGTGGAGTTAGTTCCTGCTGGTACTGATAAGGTACATATCCACCGTCCTGGTTGCTGTGCCTTCTACGCCTATCCGTTTACCACCGGCTACACGTTCTCCTTCCCTCCGCTGGTAGAGGAGTTTTGTCGCCACTACAACGTGTGTCCTATGCAACTCGCCCCATATGTTTTCAAAGTGATAAAGATGTTGGCGAAGTTTGCTGAACTAGTCGAGATCGAGGTTACTGTACGTCACTTGGTGCATCTTTTTGTACCCTATTTTTACCGAGGAACGATGCTGAATCTTCGCCACCGTGGAGGAAAGTGCTTGGTGGTGAGGATGGATGACAAGGGTAGTCGACAGTTCTGGCTCGACTACTTCTTCGTTAGGACCGAGGTCGTGGTGTCTGACATTACTGGCTTCCCTGAGGCTTGGAACCCCACACGTAAGTATTCATGTTAAAAGTTTTGTTTGTGTTGGGCTGGTTGAATAGCTCTCCTCATTATGCAGCCACCAATCTACTTGTTCAGTTAGTGGCACACCTCACCAACTGAATTAGGCAAATCCTACCCTGTACGGCAGGGATTTGTGACTGACTGAGCTTCTTTCAGAAGTTCAAACCGGCTCTCCTCTCGAAAGGTAATCTCATTCTTTCAGTCGATACCGTAATTACGTTGATGTACATTCGTCTTATTTACCTTTCTCTTCCTTTTCGTTTTTCTCTAGGTTTCGTTAAGGGGGGCCACGAGAAGGGACATGACGCTTGTGCCATCGTTTAGGAGGAGAAGGGTTGTCTTGCCTTCTGCTTCTGCCCCTGTTTCAACCGTCGCAACCACTCCTTCCTTGTTTTCCCAGTTGATGGAGATGAAAAGGTTCCTCATTATGAGATAAACCTGAGGCCTCACAAGAGGAAGGCCGTGGACATATAAGGAACTCCCTCGGCCGTCGACATGTTATAGGGCGAGCTCCTGATATGAGAAACAATGATAATACACATCGGTGATGATGTTTGGGCTACTTCTGAGGCCCCTCAGCTAGAAATTGCTGATGCTGGCATGATTTTGTGCCTCGAGGAGGAGGGAGCTGCGAATAAGGCAATTGGCGAAGATTCTGCGCTGAAGGGGCAGGAGGAGGCTTCTTCCTCCAGGCCACAGGGGAAGCTTCTCCTGTTGATGGGAACAAAGGTAAAGGCACCGCCGACAATGGTGATGAGTCGGGTTCGGACATGGACCCTGATGACCTGATGATGATTGACGAAGGGACCACCCAAATCAAAATAAGGACGTAGAGAGGTTCAAGGTCTATCACGATCCTTAGGGATCGCGATCTACTAAAAACTACCGAGGATGTGGTCAACGCTCTCGATCCTCTCTGCTATGAAGCCGAGCGGGTGACCTTCTAGACTTTGATCGATGACACCCTGTCGAAGAGCATTGCTGGTCTCGCCCTCAGGGTAAGTGTCTTCGTTTCTCGTTCTTTTTCCTTTGCCTCGTATTATTTCAGGGCTCTAACTCTTATTTTTACTTGTTTTGTAGACCATTATACTGGAGATTAAGAGTGTGCGAAGGTAGAAAAAAAGGAAATCTATTTATCAGAAGCTGAAAGGCAAATACCAAGAATTTCGTAATAAGTACCGGGATGCTCGAAGGTGACTCCACGAGGAGGGTAACGTGGCATCCTTGAGGGAAGAGCTGAAAAAGAAGTATGAGAAGTTGATGGCATCCGTAGAGAGGTTCAGCGTCCTCGAGGGGGCGGTGAAGAGGAATGAGGAGGATCTCGAGCTGAGCAAGGGTGTGGAGGCCCAATGCAACAACCTCCAGAATGAGGTGGTTCAACTGTAGAGTCAGTTGGACGAGAGCTGACTCCAAGTGAAGGCTCTGCAGGGGGAGGTTGCTGAGAAGCTGGGGATGCTTGAACAGGAGGAT